AATAAACCGAAATTAACTCAAAACAAACAGAAAATAAGCGAAAACACGCACGGTTGAAAAACTGTGTGGCTTCCCTCTGGTGATTCCCAATCCCTAATGCTGTGCACCTGTGTCCTCCCCAAATAGTAGGCTGTACCCTGAAATTGTCTGAGTCCCCGCCTATGCCCAGGTCAATTCAGTAGTATCACAGCACCTTCATATATCTTATATCGATTAGATTTATGATTCGAAAATAATAAAAGTAAGGTAGACATGTGGATATTATCCGACTGAACAAAACGTGCATTTATCAAACAGGTTTGTTTTCCACTGACCTTATTTAGAGCTATTTTCCAAAATCCTATGGAGAAATCCCATTGCTTTTTTGTCGAGGGAAACCGAGCGCAGCTTACTTCCGGGTTTTAGGATGCGTCACTGCAACACTAAATTGATGCGATTTGATTGGATTGTGAGGCAAGGGAAGCCAGCCGCCTCTGGCTTCCCTTGGCATGGCCCTGACTAATCACAGGTTGGAAGGGGCATGACGTGAGCCTTGTCTGATTGGTCAATCCCTCAATTTTTTTTCACCAAGGGAAGCCAATTTCGGCTGGCCTCCAGTCTGTGCAATCTACTGTTTCACCATAACATCTAGAGGGGCGCTGTTTCACTCTTTGTAAAATAATCAATGAGAATGGGGCATGGAATGGGGGAGAAACGGGCCGGCAGCAACACACAACAAAAAATTTCGAAACTAAACTAAGTGTTTTTTATTTATTTATTAAAATTATAACTACAATCTGAAAAAACAGGGGAAGCCTGGCTTCCCTTGGCCTCCAGGAGGAAACGCCACTGGTGTAATTGCCTCTGTCTCAGATCCTGAGGGATTTATGAACAATGTCAAGTTCCCTCTGAAGACCTGAATCTCTTCGCTGCCTCTTAAAGCTTAATGCTCCCTGACTGAGTGGCACAGCGAGAGCCACACACTCTCTCTCTATGTGCCACAGATAAAGCTAAGAACAACCTCTCAATTCCAGCTCCCCTCCTCGCCTCATGTACCCTCCTTCCTCCGCCGCTCGCACACGGCCATTCCCATTCAATGACACTGCGGAGCAAACGTGGGCGATTGTAATCGGAAAAGCTAACATTGTCCCTAATGGTTTCCCATCCCAGGAGAGTTTTAAAACATATGTAAATGTATGTAAACCCAACAGAAACACATATTTACAATAGCACAGGGAAATCACAATATGACGACACGGTGCGCCGGCCTTGTAGATGGAGGCGTCATGTGTCATTAGTCTCCTTAATTATCTCAAAGGGTCTGAATATCTCTAAGGTTGTGGTGACTGATGTTGCACTCTCTGACCATTCCTGTGTTTTCTTTGAGAGCTCTATTTCTGTCACAAAAATGTTCAAAAAGAGGTAACCACAAAGCGATATTTAACTGAAAACACTAGGGAAATGTTTACTCAGAATTTCTCTTCCACACTTGCCCCTGCCAACATCTCAGTAAATGAGCTAGTAGATCATTTTAATTCAAAAATTAAAAATGTTATAGATGCCATTGCTCCAACTAAGGTAAAGGAAGTGTCTGGCAAGAAAATATCTCCATGGAGAAAGGCCATGACCGTGAAAACAGAAAAAAGAGAATGTCGAAAAGCTGAACGCAGGTGGCGAAAAACAAATCTCCAGGTTCACTTTGAAATCTATAAAGAGAGACTTGGCCTTTATAATTTGGAATTGAAAAACGCACGACAATCGTTCTTCTCTGACATCATTACCAAAAACAAAAACCACGCACGTGCCTTGTTTGCTACCGTCGACAGACTAACTAACCCCCCAGTGTCAGTAGCCTCTGAATTTCTATCCACCAGGGCGTGCAATGATTTTGCCTCCTTTTTCACTGACAAAATTCAGAAAATCAGACAAGCAGTCAGTGCCTCTGCATCAGGAACAGCAAATGTGTTGTCTCTGTGTCCACTTAACATCAATTCAAACACCATGACACAATTCCATCAGATTAATGATAAAAACCTAGAGGACATTATTCAACTTCTGAAATCCTCCTCCTGCTGCCTTGATATTATTCCAACAGGATTTTTCAAAGATGTTTTGCCTTGCATGGCCTCAGATCTACTTCATATAGTAAACAAATCTCTTCACTCAGGTATTTTTCCACAGGCCCTGAAAACTGCAGTCATTAAACCGCTCTTAAAAAAGAATAATCTAGATGCTTCAGTAATGAACAATTACAGGCCCATATCAAACCTCCCATTTCTAGGTAAAATCATTGAAAAAGTTGTTTTCAACAGTTGAGTAATTTCTTGCATTTAAATAACTGTTTCGATGTGTTCCAGTCAGGCTTTCGTCCAAACCACAGCACTGAGACTGCTCTTGTAAAGGTCTTTAATGACATCCACTTAAACACAGACAGTGGCAGAACTTCAGTGTTGTTGTGGAAATAATTATCATAAGACGCCAATTAGTAACATACAGGACAAACCTCGATGTCTGTTTACCTTCTTTAAGGACACAGGCGGCTTAGCCAATAATGTTATTGTTCCCATTCTGTGACCGGTCAATACTGGGATACAGATGGTCTGTGTTGTGGGTACACTGGGACACTTCCTTCTCTGTATTTGTGGACTCCAAGGTAAAATCTTCGAGGTCATAAGTGTCCGAGGCAAGTAGCTCTGTGTTCCCACACTGTTTAGGCTATCTCCTCAAATATGTTGTTTACTCTCTGCGAAACCAGTTAGATGGGCTGGCAAGAGAGAGGCTCTCCAGAATTGACGTGGCAACTCTACCGTGGAGTCAGAACCTCTGACTCTTGGATTTGTGATGTGAATACTCTGGTACCAACTCCAAATAAATCACAGTGGTTTGACATCAAAGCTCCGACTCTTCCCGTGTCTCCTTCCTGAGTCGGTGACTCCACTGCATGCTACACAGAAGTTTCCTCTACAAGTGTTAGTATTATTAGATCTCAGTGCTGCGTTTGACACTGTTGACCACAGCATATTACTAGACCGACTGGAAAACTGGGTGGGACTTTCGGAAACAGTTCTGAATTGGTTTGAATCCTACTTAAAAGGACAGAAACAACTTTGTTTCTATAGGTAAATACACATCTGAGTTGACAAATATGACATGTGGGGTTCCTCAAGGCTCCATCTTGGGGCCTCTTCTCTTTAACATCTACATGCTACCACTGGCTCAGATAATGAAGAACAACAAAATAAGTTACCATAGCTATGCAGATGACACACACATTTACGTAACAATTTCACCAGGAGACTATGCTCCAATTCAAACACTGAGTAAGTGCATTGAACAAATCAATGACTGGATGTGTCAGAACTTTCTCCAATTAAACAAAGATAAAACTGAGGTAATGGTTTTTGGAGCCAAGGCAGAACGTATAAAAGTTAGCGCTGAGCTTCAGTGTGCAATGTTCAAAACAACAGATAAAGCCAGAAATCTAGGTGTAGTCATGGACTCTGACCTGAGTTTCAACAGTCACATTAAAACTGTTACTAAATCAGCCTACTATCACCTAAAGAATATATCTAGGATTAAAAGACTAATGTCACAGCAGGATTTGGAAAAACTTGTCCATGCTTTTATCTTCAGTAGACTCGACTACTGCAATGGTGTCTTCACAGGTCTCACTAAAAAATCTATTAGGAAGCTGCAGCTAATTCAGAACGCTGCTGCTCGAGTCCTCACTAACACTAAGAAAGTGGATCACATCACTCCAGTTCTGAAGTCTTTACACTGGCTTCCTGTGTGTCAAAGAATAGATTTCAAAATACTGCTGCTGGTTTATAAAGCACTGAATGGTTTAGGCCCAAAATACATTTCTGACCTCCTGCTAAATTATGAACCATCCAGATCTCTCAGGTCTTCAGGGACTGGTCAGCTTTCTGTCCCCAGAGTCAGAACTAAACATGGTAAAGCAGCGTTCAGTTATTATGCTCCAAATATCTGGAACAAACTCCCAGAAACATGCAGGTCCGCTGCAACTCTTACTACTTTTAAATCCAGGCTGAAGACTTTTCTTTTTGTCGCTGCTTTTAATTGAACTATTCATATCTTAGACTGCACTGTAACTTTTATCCATGTACTTTTTTCTTTTAATGTTTAATTGACAGCACTGTAACTTTTATCCATGTATTTTTTCTTGTAATGTTTATTTTATTAGCTTTTCTTTTTAATGACTGATTTTAAATGCCATTTTCTTAATCTCTTTCATTTTTTGTAAAGCACTTTGAATTGCCTTGTGTTGAAAAGTGCTATATAAATAAACTTGCCTTGCCTTGCCTTGCCTTGCCTTGCCTTGCCTTTATCTCTTTTCTGTTTCCTGTAAAAGCATGGACAACAATCACTCACACTCTCTGGCACAGTGATGGAGAGGAAGAGAGGAAGAAGAAGGACAGAGCACTCTATAAGCTCCTTTTGTTAAACACTCCTTATCAACACATGTTAACTGTGCAGGATTTAAATACTATAAATATCAACTTATAACTGGTACACCAAAAGAAACCATTACATGTGATGTTACAGGTGAGCAGAGGAAGGAACGCAGGATTATTTCTTACCTGTACAGAGTGCATTATCGATATCTGGTACCAACCTCTCTCTCTAGGTCGTCCTCAGACGAGCCCTCCATCGTCGCTACGTCATCCCGGTTCTCCGTATAGGATTTTTGGGATGACTTTGTTCTTCATGGTTGGCTTTACTATGCTGATTAAGGACTGGGGGCGCAACTCCTCTCAGTCCTGGTTTTTAGTTCAGTGTCCTTCTCCTAGATGGGCTCCATGGCTATTAGCCCCATCTGCCCGGGGAGCATAGTAGGGAACGGTGCCTTGCTCAGGGACACCTCGGTAGCACTTGGTCTTGCCGGGACTTGAACTGGTGACTTGAACTCCCAGTTGCCAAGCCAACTCCCTATCGACTTCGCCACCACCGCCTAAACCACATTTCAACATTTCTATTTTTGGAACCAATAATAGCAATGGTTTACTTGTGATAAATCAGTCATTTTATTGTATTTTTTGTCATCACATCACAGAAATCTGTCAGTTCTTGTAAAAAAGACACATACTGTATGAATTAGGTGCCAACATTATTCATTATAAACCCTAACTCACAAAACGTTGTGTGTGTGGTTGCTATGCACTGTTTGCATAACGCTGTTGTGAGGTCAATTTATTTTCCAGCATGTATTTCATTCTCATGCGATATTATGTTAAACATTATGCCAACTGAAAAAACACTGTTTCATGTTCAATGTTCAGGATGCTGAATTTTGCCGAAACACCCTATAATCAAGCCTGTCAATGTCAGTAACACTGTTCATTTCAATCAATCAATGTTTATAGCCCAATATCACAAATGTTACATTTGTCTCAGTGGACTTCACAGTTTGTACAGAATATCAGTATGACAATACGACACCCTCTGTCCTTAGACCCTCACATCGTACAAGGAAAAACTTCTGGAGAAAACCCACATTTAAAAGCAGTAAAAGCTAAGTTCATGTTTTAGTAGTGCAAGACAAATTAAAACAATGTTAACGAACAGATAAACAAAGAAGGTGTACCGTTTTCAAATCAGTAAACATGAATATTCCCTTTAACATTTATCAAATCTTAATTATGGATCTAAAAAAGCCAATGAGCAGAAAATGCCTGAGTTAATCCTTATATAGCAGAACAGTGAAACTCCTAATATTAAAGCACTTCCTTCTCCCAAACATTGATTGTGTTTTTCCTCATACTTCTTCTGTGTCCTCCTTTACGCTTTGCTCTGTTTGACCAGCTGCTCCACCTCCTTCATGAGGCGCAGGCACAGCTCGTCCTGCCACGGCAGAGTGACGCACTGCACCCCCACGGGCAGACCCTCGCCTCCACACACAGCCTGAACACAAACACAACATCCAGTCAGAGAACCACTAAAGTCTCCTGCCTCCATCTACTGACCAACTGCAGAACTACGGCTTCACACTGAAGGTTTTTGAAGTGCTGTATGGAACAACTGTTGTGTAAGTCACATCAGAGTGTCTTACCTGTTTGAAGAGCTTGTCCCACTGATCCTGATAAACGCCTTTATAGTGCTTCAGTTCCTCCTCATCCTCTGCCGTCACAGTGGAAACAGGAACAACTCCGGCAGGAAATTGTAGGAGATTGAAAATCAGCGTGTAAGACACAGCGCCTGGAAGGACAGATAATAGGTTATTCACCAGGTTACAGAAGAAGAGGAGTAATATTATTGTTGTTGTTGTTGTTGTTGTTGCAGGGAGATAGCTCTTTTGCTAATACAACAGCATTGCCCTCTCTACTATCAAGTATCAGCCAAAACTGAATATCATTGATACAAATATGAGGAAAAACCTTTGAATGAATGGACGGATACTATTACACCATGTAAGCCTTTATTTATATAGCCTTCCTATGAAGTGTTTTAAAGTTCAATAATTAACACAGATAATATTTCTCCTTTTTGTCTAGGACATTAAACCATCCTGTATATGTATATATATTTACATATATTTACTGGGTTCAAATATGTCCACCGGTAGAGATTTGGCAATACCATTTCAGGCAAAATCATTATGCCACAAATCAATTATCCGAGCAAGGTAACAAGATTTAAAGAGGCCCTATTATGCTTTACAGGATTATCCCTTTCCTGTACTGTGTACTATTGTTTTTTCAAAGTTCCCTCCCGAGGGAGTTTCTCCTTTGATTTTTTTAAGTGTTTTATTAAGTTAAGTTTTATTGAACTTAAAGTGGACCTATCATGCTATTTTTGAAAAATATATTGTAGGGCCATATCTATATAAAACATGTCTGGAAGTTTTTTTTTTCAAAATATCAAACAGATCACCCATTGTAGCCATGCCTCATACTGCTCAAATCCCTCTTTTGCAGCCCTGTTAGAGAAACGCAGATTTTGGGTCCTTAGCTTGAAAAAAAGAAAAGACGAGGAGGCGGAGCTAATCACAGATCAGAATTCTACCAGAGATAAAGTTAAATTCGGTTGTGATAAAACGCCATCCTGTTTAAACCACGTCAAGGATTATTTCTGAAACAGTATGGAGCTCAAATGCCTTTTCTCTTGCGGGTTTATCACAAGGTAAGTTCCTTTTTTTATTTCCTGCTTTTTAAACACGTGCTCTACAGTACATGTTAGCTCTGAGTGTTAACGAGGCTAGCTAATGTAAACACAGACGAGATTACGTCCAAAACACGTCAGGCATTATTTCTGAAAGCAAATTTCTGTGGGTCCGCCGACGTCACAGCGGATGGAAATCTGGGTTGCGTTCCAATAATCCAAAAATCAGCTCCTAAATTCTAACCCTATCATCTATTCCTTGACCTCTGAGTGAAACGTCACGGGGTTAAGGGATAGTGGATAGGAGAATTCAAAAGGACTTAGGAGAAGAGACTGCGGTACTTTAGAGAATCCGACGTGTTTATGATGCGCCAGCGGACGTCATTTTGTGCGTCTGCTGCTGTGGGGAAACCATGGAAACTACAGTTTTCTATACAGCGGACTACAACATGGATGTTTAATAAGAACGAGGGACTACTGTAAACTCATCTAGAGACTCTGCACCGTGCTCTGATTCTGTTACTTTGCTTTATGAACGTGGACAACAGAGAAACATATTCTTCATGACCAAAGTTGGAATTGAAATAAAAAATGAAATGAAACTTATGCTCGTCACCCTCTCCCTCCGGTCCACATTAATACAAATGATCCCAATACGTATGATTGTATGAACTATGAAAAGATCTTAAAATAAATACAAATGTATTTATTATAAACGTTAGTCCTTAACATCTATCACTGTGTATATCACCATTCAAACATCTTTTAAAAGTTGAACAAACCCCACACAGCTCAGTAAACACTGTGAAATGTTGACTTTATTTGATCATTTCAGTAAAAACTAACGTTCATATTTCTCTTTTTGATTATAATACTGATGAACGTTCAGAACAAAGCACTTTGGCAACTTACCACATACATTTTAAAATGCTTAATAAGCACCGTAACTTTCATGATATAATTTCTCGGTCATAATCGGTTGTTTCCGTGAACGGCCGACTGTTGAGTGGCGGCAAATGCTGCGGCTGCAATGCATTGTGGGGCAGCATTTTCTCCTCTCCTTTCGTCAAGGGAGGTCCAGTGGTTCCTAAGCTAAAGGAGGTTATAAAGGAAGTTTGAAACCTCCTTTCCTTTCATTTAGAGAATTGGAACGGCACTTAACATGGCTGCCACTGAGGGACTTCCGGGTCATTTCACTTGGTTAGGAAGGTTCCTAAGCTAAATGGACTATTGGAACGCAAATCTGGATCAGCTCCGTTGTAGCCCCGTTTTTAGAGATTTGGGTACTGACGCTGCGTGAGTTCCCCGACGCACCGGGGACACATATTTATGTATAAAAGACATCACAAAGGGCATTTTGCATGATAGGTCCCCTTTAAGTATAGAAGTAGTTTGAGTGCCGTACTGGTGAGCTTGCCGCAGAAGAGGTGGTTGTAGGCCGGTCCGGTCACAGGGCACAGCAGAGCGTCTATGTTGCATTTCCTCCACTCTGCTATCGTTTCCTGAATGTAGTCCTAATGAGAACACAATTGAGCAAAAACAATGAGAACTCAATGTTCTGCATTCCTAGATGCAAAAGCGTTATTAGCCGACAACTAACAGTACCTCAACTGCAGCATGCTGCTTCCACAGATCTTGAATGGATCTAAAAACAAGGCAGACAAAACAATCTGTTTGTTTTTTGCATTTTGCCCATCACATGCAATGTAACAAAACCATAAGTGCAAACCGATGACGAACTAAGTTAATTTCTCACCCAACTCCACAGAGACCTCCTAGAACAACGGAAGCCCGAGTAGACTGAAAAACAAAAGCAAGACATAAAAACCGTTCAAATAAAAAAATAACTGTTTAAGGAAATATCTACCAAATAAATATTTAAACCAATTTTATACTCAACAACCTTGAGGATATAATGTTAGCCTGTATGCATGTTTGTCAGAGGGTGAGAACTCACAAAGGGCTTGAGCAGAAATGAGAGGGTTTTCTTCAACCATATAGGAAGAGTGTACGGTACAATCTGTGCTCTGAGAGAAGGGTCCACAGGGCTGCCCTCTCTGAAACAGAAAATATAAGCGTTCATTAGCACACAACATTATCGGTTTCATAGGGATTGTAACTTGGCTCATTGGTATAGTTAGACAGGTTAAGTTATTTCAACAAGGACCATGCATACAAATTAATTTCAGAAAAGAAAAGATATGAATTATGCCAGATTATATTTTATAGCTAATTTCCATCTGCAAGGTGATTCTAACTCACAGTTTTTGGAGCAGAGTGGTGGCTCCGTCTGCCAGAATACCTTTTACAACCAGTTCAGCTAGAACGTATTCCAGATTCAGATGACGGTAGGGCACCAACTACAGGCACGAATGACAGACAGGGGAAAAGGTAACAGCATTAATAACATAGGGCTCACATCACATATGTTATGTGGCAGTAGATCATACAGTGTCCGTGTGTCTGAGTGGAGAAGTCTTACCGTGTGCCCTGCTGCCTCTAACAGAGCTTTGACCTCTCTGACGCTGCGGGCCATGCTTGGAGACGGTTGTGTGTAGCCGTCGCTTTCTTGGTAACCGATCCGGAGACGTTTGGAGCTCTGGTAAATCTGAGGACAAAAGGTTTTCATTCTGTCAAATCGATAGGGGGACATCCGAGTGGAAACAATACAAACACAACATGCTTCTTTCTCTCCTCTTCTTCTCTTTCATTATGTGTAGGTATTACTTTTGTTTGTTGTAAAAACTTTTGGTATCCACTGTTATAAAAATTCTAAAAAATGTATATTTAAAAAAATGAAATGTCACTAATATATATTTTTAGGAAGCATTTTCTTTAAGTAAGTTTTTTCTTTATTTAAAAGCTTTACTTAAGTAGCCTAAAGTAGTTTCTAGGTAAAGGAAAAGGTGAACAGTTTGATTCAAAAAGTTTCAACGGTTTAAAGATTTTAATGTAATTTATACAGCTACAGTGTAGAGTAGGCTACATATGCTTATTTTCAGATTCATATCTGTATTTTGTGCCCCTACTGTGACTTATTTCCATGCTTTAATGCTCACAAAGCTCTTTATTTTTTCATACTGCCTGTGCTGCAGCACAGTCTGCTCTGATTGGTTAGCTGGCCGGCTCTGTTGTGATTGGTCAACCGCTTAGAGATGTCCCGCCCCTTAGCCTATTATGTGAAATGTGTTGGAGCACTGGCCAATAGAAGCATGAGTGTTACAAATTATCTTGTTTTATCTAGACACACACTGGGTGTTTCTCAATCTCGAGTACGCTTGCTTGGTAGCACATGTCTTCCGGGCGTCTTGCTTCAGAAGCGAGGCAAGAATACTTCCTAGCCTCGGAAAACAAGGAATGGAACAGGCGAGCAAGTGTGCAGGTGTGCTTCATATGAGAGGCCCTGCCTGGTCCGTGCGCAAAGCATTGTGGGGATTTTAAGACTGTGGAGTCTACACATGTGCAGCCTCGAAATTTCTCCAAATGAAGCACGCCGGGCTCAGTAGAATTCCAAGTATGCTGGAGATTGGAACAGTACTTCGGCGGCACTCGATGACGTAGTATGCTTGAAATAGTGGCTCTGGAGCAGCTTTACTCGCATTGAGAAACACCCACTATCTATTGCCCTGGGAGAGTGATCCTCCTCTATTGCTCTCCCCAAGTTTCCCCCACATTAATTGCAATTCATAGTGAGGGTCTAAGGACATCGTGTGTCATTGTACACACTGTGAAGCCCCCTTAGCCAAATGTGTAATTTGTGATATTGGGTATTTGACTGATTGATTTGACATTGTAACTGTCACAAAGCATACTGTGCCCCCTCACTGAAAAGATGAGCAAATCCATAGCAGCAGCAAACAACATGTCTGTCCAGGTTAAGGGTCCCAGCCAAGAAGTAGTCTGTTACATAAACCTATTTTGAGGTGGACAAACCTGCACATTAAAAGGCACGGGTGGGACAGTGGGGTCCAAAGAGAACATGTGGTCACACAGCAGCGCCTGCATACACAGAGCCAGACTGTCCACATCCCTCGCCATGGGTCCAGCACAAGACGGCACTAATGTAATGAGAAACATAGGAAACAGTAACCAATGATTTTCAGACAACACATGTAGTATATAGGCAATGATGATACAACTTACTTGATTTTTGCCCTCGATAAATGGAGCTCAAACCCTGTGTACTGAATAAGACACAAAACAAAGAAAACATATTAATGTAATGAATGATTATCCAAAACCTACTGAAGCAGAGACACTCACCTGAGTCGACCTGGAGTTGGCTTGAAGCCACAGATCCCACAGAAGGAGGCGGGTAAACGGATGCTACCCCCTATATCACTGCCCATCCCCAGCAGGGAGCCCCCTCCCCCGATGAGAGCCCCCTCCCCGCCGGAGGATCCTCCGCTGGTCTTCAGGGGGTTGTGCGGGTTCAAGGTCTGCCCAAAGATAGGGTTACTGCATTCATAACTAGATATTAGGTCAAAAATAAAAACACATAAGCATCAAAACATAATTACATGAGAGCACACCTGTACCACAGTTCACTCTTTATACCTTTATTAAGAAATTATATTTTTATTTATTTATTCACGAAAGGACAATGCACATTAATAAACATGAGCACTTCCTGTAATCCTGTAAATGTGCCAGATTTAGCCAAAGAGGCACATTTTCCTCTGCAGTCCCTGGCAGGTTCATGGAATTAAAGGGGCCATATTAGGCTTTTGGGGATTTCCCCTTTCCTGGAGTGTGTTATATACTGTAGGTTGTTATGCATAATGGTCTGCAAAGGCTACAATTCAACAGTTCCCTCTGGAGAGTTTCTCTCCCACACACTCCCCCCCCCAGCCTGAAACGCCTCCATTGGACTCCTTTGTTTACTTCTGTAACATAGTGACATCACTACGTTAGCTAACCAATCAGAGCAGACTGGGCTCTGGTTTCAGACAGAGGGTGAAAAGAGGTGCTTCATTAAAGCATGGAAACATGTCACAGTCGAGGAACAAATATGAACATAAAAGGGCCTCTTTAAAGAAATCACACACGAGAACATAAGCACGGGCAAGAAGCATGTTTACTTTAGTAGGGCTTGGGGTATGTTTGTTTTCACAAAAGGAATAGCCCCTTGTTTCTTCAGAACTTCAACAAGAACGCTGTCTTTCTTGGCAGGGTGGTCCAGATTAATGACAACACCACAAGAAGATTCGGAATTCTTGTGATGTAAAACAAAGACAAAAGAGAATGGTTAGAAGAGAGCATCAACTCATCAAACTAAGCTTTATCAATGATTGCCATGATAGGGGTTGAATGTATAATCATTTGCAGAACATGCGAGTACAGATAGCATCATTCAATTCTAAATCCAAAGAGCATGGTTACCTAACCTGCACTTCATCACTGATCAACTAACCTTAATTTAATCCTGGATCACTGTTTCCAAAACAATTTTGCATTGTTGGAAGAGCCTGAGACGAAAGATTTTCATCGCCCAAACTACACTGTAGCTATTATGCTTATGAAAATAAAGCATTTGAAAGACGAGTGTAATACACAACTACAGAATACCTTGTATCCATAGTTTTCTTTGATGCTAACTGGGACTCCATACAAGAGACCTTTCCTGTTAGAGTCAAGAGTTTTCATCTGATCGAAACTCTCCAACAGGATCCCAGTGCAGCAGTTCAGATCTTTATTCAAATCCAGAGTCTGTGGGAAGAGGAAACACAGCACAGACCGGTCCTTTTCAAACACATTCCTCCAAAAGCTTGGTTTTATAGACCATGAAAGTCATATAGAAATGTGCAAGCAAGTACATCAATATTTACTTTGTAACAGTGCATATAGACGATTTAAGCAACAAGCCTTGAACATATATATGTATTGCATTTATTTTAATTAGACACAAGTCTGCTGATAAGTTTTAAATATCAGTTTTGGGATGAAAACCTTAAAGAGTAACACTAAGATCTACGAGGCATTTTGAAAAAAATAAAGGTGTTTTTTCTTCGGTATGACTTGTGTTATGTTTTTTCACCTTTTCCATGTAAGAGTAAAACACCTCCTCAGGGTTGAGCGAGCCTTCCTGCAGTTTCTTTGTCAGCTCAGAGAGAGACAGCGTCAGGATGAGAGCGGAGTCGGTCTCTGGATGCTAGAGGGCACACACAAACACACGGTAGGCATTCAGTAGAAACATATGTGTGGAAAGTGAATTCGGACACTAGGCAATAATTATACTTACTTTTTATCTAAGTTTTTATAAGTATGTAAAAGCTCTTCATGGATGTAATATTTAAAAAGAAAAAAATCACACCATAATCATTTTTTATGTATATCTGACTGTGACAACCCTGTGGTTGTCCACCATGTAGTGCTGTTGTAAGAGAGACCCACCTGTGGCACCTGGTTCCACTATTTAAGAGGGCTGCAGAACAGGCTCTCTCTCGGCTGCCCTGCTCGGTGCACCAGGCCACTGCATTTGGATAAATAAATGATTGTTTTGGGCAACTCCTGTGTGGAACCGTTGTCCTTTTGTTACAAGCAGAGCCAGCTTGTAACATATGGGGGTTCGTCTGAGCCAAGAACCAGGTGATATTTGTTTACTTGATTTGTTTGCCTTGATTGTGTAGACAGTTTGTTCCTGGTGTAGGGCATTAAGGAGTAGCTTTGGAATTACCTTTCCTGATAGGCATAAGCAACATCTCCTTTAGGGGAGCTTGTTGGTTTGTTATTTTTGTGCATAAACATGATTCAACATTTTTGTCATGGGTACACGTCCGTGGCTGTCTTGGTGAGTAACAGCTTCACTGGGGCTTTACCGGGTCATTGGGTAAGTGTTTAAAACACCTGTCGTGGCATGCATGAAGACTAGGGTGAGACAAGATAGTTAGTATTGGGTAGGCAGTTAGCTAGGGGAGAGGTATTCCAGAGTTAAAAAAATAAATAAAATCCTTTTAACCCTCCGGTATCACTGTGGACGTTTTTGTCCATATGGGTAATTTTTCACTTTTCATTTTGCAATAACTTTGGTTGTGTTGGTGCAAATGGCCTGGTCTTTTCTAACAAGGCTATTTTCTCGATCTATTTTTGGAATTTTTTTTCCACAACTTTTTCGGGTTGAATCTTTAAAGCAACTTCCGCCCTAATCAAAAATACCAAGAATGTAATCATTTTCAGGATTTTAACCCTTTAAATGCCATTTTGAATACATGAAACCGCTGTTGTTTTTCATGGTGAAAACAGAGAAAATTAGTTATTTTCCATAACATACATATCTGGGGACTGGCTCTTTTTTTTTTTCAGTCTTGGATATGTCAAAGATTAGCAACAACATTGATTTTGGTGGATTATTAGTTTTTGCACAGAATCAGATTAAACAAAAAACTCACACATTAGCCACTCACGGACAAAAATGTCCCATCCACTCCCATTATAACCACATATTTTGATCTCTCCGCCATACCGGTATATAATCATGCATTTTATAATGTCAGGGTTTTATATTGGAGGAAAATAGTTCAATTTCAATATAATGGGGCCCTGCCAGCCATTGGAATACATGTATGCAACTAATATGATGTAGGTGTGTTGGTATGGATGTGGAAGAGTGGTATCAGCTGAGAAATGTGTGTGTTTGTCTGTGTGTGTGTCTGGATGTACAGTGTGTAAAGAGACAACAATATACAGTAGATTTGGTTTAAAGCAAGTCGCAGTTTTCGCCTCATATCTTTCTTTCTCTCTCTCCCTCTCTTTCTCTCTCACTCCCTCATTTCCAAACTCATACACACTCTTACATATTAAACCTCCTTATACCTTGTATGTGTGCGAGTGATTGTGTGTCAGAATGAGACAGGACTAACCCCGCCAAGGAAATCACCAAACCCAAACCAGCGGTTAATGAGATGGTCCCTGTTTCTACAGCCTTTCCATTTAGACATCCGACATCTCAAAGGTTCCCGAAAATGTAACAAGTTGCTGAGTTGGTGAATATGGAAATTAGGCAGTGGTAAAATAAGGTAACATTTACACCCGGGTAAGCTATGTTTAATTTAGTCTATGTAAGTATAAGCTCTATTAATAATTTGATCTATCAGTGTCTTGGGGACCCTTTTTGTATGGGGGAGGGGGGTGAAAACCCTGTGGTTGTCCACCATGTGGTGCTGTTGTAACCTGGGTTTTCCTTGTAATCAGCAGTGATGAGACCCACCTGTGGCACCTGGTTCCACTATTTAAGAGGGCTGCAGAACAGGCTCTCGCTCTCTCTCGGCTGCCCTGCTCGGTGCACCAGGCCACCGCTCCTCTGTGTTTTATTGTTGGTTGTAACCACCGCGTTGGGATACATAAATGATTGTTTTTGGCAACTCCTGTGTGGAACTGTTGTCCTTTTTGTTACAAGCAGAGCCAGCTTGTAACACTGACTTCTATTTCGTATATGGCTTCGCCCTCTAAGGTTACTGAAACACTTGTAGTCCACGCCCACCCGCAAGGTGGGCCCCACCCTCGGGCTCCCTTCCGGTATAAATAGGAAGGAGGCCCGACAATCTGCTCCCTCTTTTCTTCAGCACACCGTTACTGAAGCACAAGAAACACTTCAATTGCAGAGTAAACATGAGTAACAATTGTGAGAGATTGTCCCTCATGTGGCTCTGGGTTCATAATGAGTTATGACCAACACACAGTATGCGAATCCTGCCTGGGGTCAGAGCACGCGTACGCGGCTCTAAACCAGCAGGTAGCATGCACAGACTGTGCCCGTCTCCCCTCGGGTGACAGGAAGCGGAGAGCGGACGCTCTTGCTGCTGCGGCCGAGGAGGACGATTGTCCCGTCCAGGCTTACGAGCCTGCGGACGGGGGCCTCGTGTCCCTGGGGCCGAGTGCCGGGCAAGAGTCCGACAACTCCTACCCCGCCTCCCTCCACGGTTCACCGTTCGGTTCTCCCCTCCCTCCTCTCCACCGGACGGGGGAGACAGAGTCGGAGCAGGATGCCAGCTTGGCGGCCGAACATTCTTTCCCCCTCTCCGTCACCACAGCGCTACCGGCGATAGGTGGCATCCTAGGGGAACTGCCGGAGATCATACGCAGGGCGGCCGCCAGCAGAGATCTCCCCGTTCCCCTAGCTCAGGAGAGGTGTGCTCCGGACGACATGACCAGAGTTTTTTCGCGGTTGCAGACGGTCAGGAGTGACCCGATATGGCCACGCTTCTCGGCCATCAGGAGGTTCCAGGAGGGGGCGGAGGCAAAACCGAGGACCTTGAAGGCTACAGTGGCCACATTTGTTCCCCTCACCAAGGTGGAGGGGTTCACAGATGCTGGTTTCCTAGCCACCCCTTCTCTGGAGCCGGGTCTGACGGCGTTTTTTGGGGTAAGACAGGCCAACATAATCACCGGACGGCGCCCTACGTTGAGCTCCCCCAGAGACCAGTCTGTCACCCGCCAGGCCGACCGGGTGCACCAGTGTGCCTTTCAGGCGGCGGAGAATAACATTGCGCTGCTCTCCAACTCGGTGGTGACGCTGGAAGAGCGGTCCACCACCGAGGCAGAGGAAATCAGCAAGGCGGCCAGCACGGCGCTCACTCTGTGCGCGTCCTTCGCTGTCTCCCAGGCAAGGATTTCCGCGTGGGTGACACAGATCCAGCGCCACCTCTGGCTGCAGCAGGCGTCTGTTACGGAGACGGCCAGAAAAGTGCTACTGGACGCTCCAATCAGCCCGGACGGGCTGTTCGGACCCCAGTTCCACGCCATGGTGGAGTCCATGAAGATGGCCGCGGAACAGGCGGACGGCATTCGCCAGCATGTCAGCTGGCTCCAGCCTGCTGAGCACCCACAGCGGCGTAGACGCCCGCAGCAGCCGCGGCGTCCACAGGAGGCCGCAAGCGGCGAAACGCCCACAGCAACCGCCTCGGCGTCAGGCTCGCCCTTCGGCGGCTGCAGGGGCTCCGTCCCACGTCTCCGCTCCCCGCCACCCCAGAGACAGGGTCTCCCGGCGGCGAGTCAAAGGGGAGTGAGGCTCCCCCGCTCCTGGTCTGCTCCGCGAGAGCCTCAGAGGAAGCAGAGCCGGTAATTAAGCCAGCTGCCACTAACCTGTTGATTAAGTAGACAGCAGGGCTCGCTGCAGAAGCCTGCCGGTTTTAACCTCTGTTAATAACCTGCAGAGCTCGCGGCATTCCTCTGTCCGAGTTACGCCTCCTACACACGGTCATAATAAACCCATGAGCGCCGTTATAACGCCTCGTGTGGACAGCACTGCACACACCTCCATTCACCAGATTTCTAGAGAGAAGTGTATATTGTACTTTTAGAATCCACGTCCAGTGGATGTGTAGGATCTACAGTTTGATAGATATTACGAAGATGATTTGAGGTCTCGCCAGGATAACGTGTATATGCGGCAGCTTCCATGTAAAGTTAGCGTGGGTGAAAACAGTTTTTCCGGTCTCGAAGTTTTCAAAATAAAACCGGATATATTCCCCTCACTGTCAAATGATTACACAGTGATATCTGCATTACTCATCCACTAAAAAACATCAGTTTATCCTTGTTATATACACAATATTGATTGGTTTAAATGGTGTACAATGCTTTTGTGTTTTTAACCTTCGATTCAGAGAAACAAATAGTTTTTTAGGAGTTTAGACACTACAGTTTCCGAAGACACTACACTACCCAGAATCCCCAGCTATCGTTTGGGACTACAACATCCGCCTTGCTTTACAAACCCCGTGATTAGTCATCAAGCCCTGTGATTGGATGTTGGAGTGGCAGTGCGACAAGGTTACGCTGAGCGTCAACAGCTCTTTGAAATGGAATGGAACCACGGCAGACTTTCCAAAACTGGAATTGGACGGGTCCCCCCCCCCCCCAGAACTACACATGCTGGCTATTGAGTGTTTAGCAACATTATATGGCACGTCTCTTTATAAGACGTTTTCGTATTTCCCACAATTAGAAGTTGCCAGTATTAAACTGTGTACACCCTGGAGGTTTAGGGGATACGAAACACAGTGGTGTTATCAAATGTAAAACATATAATTAATAAATGGGTGAAATAATATACCCACATGACACCTAAGGTCAGAAGAGCTTTATTTAACAGCTGGTCTTATGTCTGTGACCCCTCCTGTTGTTCATTGATAAGCCTGAAACATGCACTTGTCAAGGTTCAGAGGCAAATTTTGCAAATATGGCAGTAGCCATCGATCATCTTAAGATAAGATAAGATATACTTTATTGATCCCAAGTTGGGAAATGTTTTTGTAACAGCAGCATACTACTTTGTTCTACTCCACTACAATTCAGAGGTTAACCTGGTATTTTTACTCTACTACATTTATTTTAGTTACTTTGCAGATTCTGATTAATGATGTGAAATATAAACAACCCTTAAATCAGACTTTAGTTACACCTGACTCAAATTCAGGGAAGGTGATTGTCAAGTGCCAAAATAAACTATGGAATATATTGGACGTTAAGTACTTTGTCAGACTTCATATTTATCTGTGGATAACCCCAACGTTTTTTTCTTATTCAAAAGAAGACCTTATCTTAAAGTAATCTTTAATGTTTAAATAAAGCCTAGTTGGTCTGTTTTGTACATCCTCCTGTTAATATCTTTGGACGTCCTGCACTAAACTGTTTTATTGTAGAGATCACTACAGTATCTTCTTGAAATTTTCAATTTTGTATGTAGGCTACTCTTAATATTTAAATGTTTTCATCAAATAAAACGTATTCAACAACAAAATTCAATAACGTGCTTTAACCACTAGGCGGCGCGGGTTAAAAAACCAGTGGTGTAGTTAATAAAACATAATAATATCAAACATAATATGACTATTAACTTTATGGTGAAATTAAAACAGAACGGTAAAGGAAAATACAGTTTCAGCCTCTCGATTTGAAGCTTATGCATTGTACCATGAACCTCTATAGACCTGTAACAGTCAACTGCATGAGGAGTTGGAAAGGTAATTAATTAATTAATTAATTAAAATGTCGAACTCGGACTTTATTTTAAAGACATTTCGCACCGCCTTCACTGTGTTTACCTTCAGAATCATTAGAAAGGCTAAGAGCGACCGCATGCTGATGTGTTTTAACCACACACACACACCTCTACACACACACTAAACGCAGACTTCTGTTCCTCCATGTTTCGTTGTTATCGTTTCACTGAGCGGACCCGCCCCTTTTTTTTATTTATTAAATGTTCATTTGATCATTGGTTTTATTATGAAAACGTTGAGACCGGAAATACTGTTTTCAACCCATAACTTTACATGGAGGCTGCCGCATACTTCAAATCATCTTCGTAATATCTATCAAACTATATATCCTACATATCGACTGGACGTGGATTCTAAAAGTACAATATACACTTCTCGCTAGAAATCTAATCAAAAAGCGTTTTAATGGCCAAACTAACCTACAATTTAGGATTTTACAGAGAGAGGATTTTAACAATCGGCATATTTGGTCGTATGAGTTGTGTAGAGGAAACTTCTGTGTAGCTATGCAGTGGGAGTCACCGACTCAGGAAGGAGACACGGGAAGAGCAGTAGCTTTGATGTCAAACACATGATGGTTTATTTGGAGTTAACGGCCGGAGGATTCACATCACAAGTCCAAGAGTCAGAGGTTCTGACTTCACGGTAGAGTTGCCACGTCAATTCTGAAGAACTCTACCCCAGACCCATGTATTTAGCTAGTTCAGAGAGCATCATCAACATGCTGCATAACAAGATAGAATGATAACACCTCTATCAGCTGACGCCAACAGGCAGGAACAGGGAGACAAAACACTGAGAGCACAGCAGCCAAGGTTACAGGTGCCTGTGCTCAGTCAGGACAGTTTGAACTGATACACTGGGTCAAAGTTATGGGCCTTGGAAAATATTTACACAACAAGTTGGAGGACTTGTTGACTGTTCCCCCTCTTTTTGTCACTGGGCAAAGTATGACCTTCGTCTCTACTTTTTCACAGCGGCAGGTATGTATTGTTCCCAGCCTTCGTCCCCTCATGGAAAATATTCATGTTATGCTATATTCCAGGGACGGCGATGCGCCATTACGCATGACGCAATAGGCATGGGTTATTATCTGAGCAGGTGTGTCTGTGCTTCTTGTACCGGGCGGACCCAGTGGGGTGCAGACTACATCATGCTTCACCCTTAACCCAATAGCGATAGCCTTAGAGGGCGAAGCCATATACGAAATAGAACTGAAGTTACCTACTGTAACTCCAGCTTCTATGAGTATTGGCGTAGCCCTCTACGTTCTGGGCCCCACTGGCTCCACGAATAGCTGAAGAAAAATTGTTTTGTGTGGGAGCAGATTGTCAGGCCTCCTTCCTATTTATACCGGAAGGGAGCCCGAGGGTGGGGCCCACCTTGCGGGTGGGCGTGGACTACAAGTGTTTCAGTGCTGCGCGGGTGCGCAGGGGGATTACCCAATAGCCTTAGAGGGCTACGCCAATACTAATAGAAGCTGGAGTTACAGTAGGTAACTTCAGTTATTATGTGAATAATGTATACAAAATAATCATTCCCTCTTATGTCGCGAATCAAATTGCAGCTGCAATTACAGTCAAAATAAATATGTTTGTTTGTTAAAATTGTGCAGCCCTAATATAGGAATTTGGGGACTTTTACTTTAAAAATGACAATATTTGTTGGTGATCAAAGTAGTTATAAATTACTTTTCTGCCAAACACCTACAGTAATTGTTAGACCATTTTCAATGCAGACATGTTTAAATTGAATAGTTGGAAAGGAAGCAGATAAAATCTGGTGATTATTGATTAGTCATTGTAATTTATAATAACACATGATACACTGTAGATTGAATTCTTAATCCAAATGTGATTAAAGGTGGGGGAGGTAAGTTTGAGAAACCGGCTCGAGATACACTTTTTGTTATATTCCATGGAATGCTCTTAACATCCCGATAGCAATGAATATCTTAAGTGCACCTACCCCACCTTTAAGTAAACAACAAAGTGTAGTGTAATTAAAAGAACAAAATGTATCTTAAAAATTATAATTAAGTTGCAGGGAAAAGTGTGAAAAGTGGTGAAAGAAGTACTCATCTTGTAATTCAGTAAAACCAGTGTAACAACATTCAGTTCAATACTTGAATCACCAAAAAGTATTGAAGAATGTCCATTTTCATTATTGATTCACTAATGTGTTAATTTTTTCTATTTTGGAGCTTCAAAAGCCGGAGCTCATTTTATATCTTAATCTATAATAGTATGTTATAATTTATAATATAATAGTTATAATGACTTTGTATACTGCAGGGTAGCTTGTGAATTTACTCCAGGTGTAACTAAAGTCTGATATAAGTGTTAATTATATTTAACATCATCAATCCAAATCTGCAAAGTAACTAAAGGAACTTAACAACTGTAGTGGAGTAAATGTACACTTTGTACTGTGGAGGCGTGTGGTGCAGTGGATAGAGCCTTGGTGTTGGGATCAGGGGGTCAAAGGTTCAAACCCCACTGCAGTCAGCATGTCATTGTGTCCCTGAGACTCTTCACCCCAAATTGCTCCTGTGGGGATTGCCCACAGTATTGAGTATGTAAGTCGCTTTGGATAAAAGCGTCTAACAAGTGACATGTAATGTAATGTACTTCTGAATTTTCCAAGTCCAAAATGGAAATACTCAGTAGGCCTACAAGTAGCCTACCTCAGAATGTACCTTAAGTACAGTACTTGAGTAAATTGGTTGATAACCCGGGATGGACAGGAAGAATCGACCTCTTCCTCCAGCTGACCCAACGCAAACGGGACCAACAGCTGGCAGGGGGGAGCCACCAACTCGCACATTTCATTGTATATCACCGCATAATTTGTTTAATTAAATGCTGTTAACTTTTATAAGCTTCCCTTGACTCTTTTCAGTTTATCCTGCTCTCAGGGCTAAATAAATCCTTACAAAATCCACTTAGTAACTGTCTGTGTTGAAATCTCACCGACTTGTTGTACTGCAGCACCGCATGCTCAGCCCGCTGCAGGCTGTCGGTCCTCCGGTTATGTGCCTTCTGGATCTTAGCCTTTGCCTCCCGTTGAGTGTAGCCTTTCTGCAGCAGCACCACCACGGTCCCTATCATGCAGGCTGCAGACGTAAATAGAGCCGCTGTCCGGGGCTCTACATTCTCCAGATACCGCTGTACGCCCTCCATGATGCTAACTGAGGCTCAAACAAAACAAACACACTGATGCTGAGGGTGTGAGCTGCTGGCTTTAAAGGAGACATCAACAACTTGGCGCGGAAGAAGAGTTATGTCAAAGATTCATCGTGTTAATCATTTAGCCTATGGAGTCAATAAAACGTTGTAAATCCATACAAACTAACTGCAAGGGCGTGAACCCGGATAATAGGTTTCTATAGAGCTGTTGCATTGAGGCACGGAAGGGGGCGCCACAAATGGGTGTGGGTTTCAAAACCTTACCAAATTCAATGACTTTCCAGGCCTAAATCCCTAAAATACAAGCACCTAACTCCTAAAAGTGTGATACACGGATCAATGTTAATTACTGTTATAACACTGAGAACAAACCGTTCCCAAATTGGGATCAATAAAGTACCTATCTAAGTCTTTTATATAAATTGCACAATAAAACTATAAATTATATAAACTATAAACTAACAACCTTCAATTTCTATTGTTTGAAAATATATATATTCAAGCACTGTCATATGAATTATTCACGTACCTCTTGTTGGGGAAATATTTTCCGATAAGAATAATAATGTTTTAGATAAGAATAAAACAAAAACTGTCCAGTATCAAATACTTATTTCACTTCAGGGTGATAATACAATGGTATATATTAGTTTGACGGCCGTCGCCTCCCCGGTCCATACCGTCCCGTTTACCGTCAGCTGTGTGCTTGCATGGATGTATAATAAGAACTGGATACAGCGTGGGAGGCGGGGCCTCATTCATTCCTATGAGAGTTGCTCATTAGCGCATGATGATAAAATGGCTCAACTTTTGAGAGAGCGAAACGTCACAGATTACCCGGGCTGCTTCTCAGGTCGATTAAATGAAATCCTTGCTTCCCTCACTTGCGTCGTTTCCCTGCGTTTAGTCCCTCCCACCAGGGAAGCATGGAGGGACGCAAGGAAACCACGAGAAGCAGGGAAATGAGTTTTAAGAGCAATGGGACGTCCTTTCCTCCGGAGCGTCACGTGAAGCGACGTCCGTTTGTGATGACGCTGCACAGCTGATCGTCTGACAGCAGCCAGCTCTGTCCCCGTTATTTCCACACACACCCCCGCCTCTGTTAGTACACATTTACTGACACAAACATTTGTATCATCTGTTGTAGATCCCAATAAATAAAATAAAATAAGAACTCATTCTCAAAAAAGATAAACGCCATTCTTAAAATGTATAAACGAACAATAGTTTGATTAATATTGATTAGAGTGCACAAAAGAAATAAAATAATTGAGAGAAGAAAAAGAGATATGTTAACTATCAAAACCCAGTTAGATTAACATTCATTGGATTGCACACTTTGTTTGTTTGTTTGTTTGTTTGGATATGTAGCACATTAACATTTTAATAGCACTTAATGACTGACTGAATGGAAATGACAATAAATGAAAATGTAAAACGAAAAAAGCGATCATGAAAATGTTTCCAACAAATGAATAAAAATGATTTTTGACCACTTTGTTGTTCAGATATATCACATATTTGTAACTAAATGAAACATGAATTGAAACAAAACACGGTATAAACTGAGGAGTGACTCCCGTGAGGTTCATGTATTTTCTTCACTCTGCTCTCATGTCAAGAAGCATGAGATCAGTGCATGCACTGCATCGTCCAATCAGTGAGCGATACACAGTAAGGGGGCGGGGCGAGTATCTGAGGATTTCATCTGAGGATGGTCTGGTGGTTCCTCGATTATCGCTCCTCGCTCCTCGATCCTCGGTCCTCCGGCAGAAATAAGAGCCATGGGACGGTACTCAAGATGGCGCAGGCAAATCAACTTCCGGTGAGACCGAGGACCGAAGAGCGAGGAAATGAAAATAGTCGACCTGAGAAGCAGCCCCGGCATGCCTGAGAAGTAACCGTATGTGCACTCATAGAGCATGCGCAACTTTAACCAAAATGCTCGTTCACATCAAGCACGTCAATTTGCGTACACGTAACAGCACCGCACGTTCTTGACAGCATGGTAATGATTTGTTATTTTGATGGATTTGATATTAACGAGGCGGCAGTTAGCAGCTAGCGGCTAGTTAGTCATTATGCTAACGTACACATCAATCGTCATGTACTTATATTACGCTGTAACAGGATCTAGTGATATCCAACAGAGCTTCATTTAGCTTGAAATAGTTATTGCACCGTATATATATATATATATATATATATATATACATATATATATATATATATATATATATATATATATATACACACAGTGCAATAAGCTTCTTAGTGCAATACGAAGCTACAGGGACGTTAATAATGTCGGTAATATTAACTTTATTTAATACAACATTTACGGTACAAGATTTAATCATACAGCCCATGTAGTATGATGATGAATTACAGCAATATATCCATTATTACAGCTCCGTGGGATGGCAGTAAGACGATATGGATCCGTTCTTATTGTGCATCCATGGGTAAAGACAAACGCAACTCACATTGGTTTCTCAAACAGCATCTCTGTAAACTACGTGTATTCACTGAATTTCACTCTCTGCCTTTAACGGCTCGTTGTAGCTCCAATAGCTCCAGCCCCACCCTCCCTGTGAGCACAGTGTGCTCTGATTGGTCGGGACACGTAACATGAACGTGCCGGGCGGCGCGGTCCCGTGGGTTAGATGCGCGTTTATAATGCAGAGGGAAATAACTCTCAGAATAACGTTATTAGCACATTTTACAACTTGAGGAACGAATGTTTTTAATAAGGGCTATACAAGTGTTCATACTGGGTAGTTTATTTAGTTTAAAAAAAATTATCCAACGAGTTACAGACCACTCTTTCCCCATGTAAGTCAATGGGAAAAAGTGTTTCCGGGCCTGGCAACCAAACGGAAGTGTTTTACCGCCGTTTGGCCAGCACGAATATTTTCATCTGAGTCCGGCGCACTTCCTGGGGGCTTGTGTGCTTGCCCTAACATCATTGAGTACCATTTCCTGGTCCGCCTCCGAAGACTCTGATTGGAGCACGCCAGGCCGGACGCGCTCCAATCATGGATGTATAATAAGAACTGGATACAGCGTGGGAGGCGGGGCCTCATTCATTCCTATGAGAGCTGCTCATTAGCGCATGATGATAAAATGGCCCAATTTTTGAGAGAGTGAAACGTCACAGATTACCCAGCATGCCTGAGAAGTACCCGTATGTGCACTCATAGAGCATGCGCAACTTTAACCAAAATGCTCGTTCACATCAAGCACGTCAATTTGCGTACACGTAATAGCACCGTGCGTTCATGACAGCATGGTAATGGTTGTTGTTATCATGGATTTGATATGAATGAGAAGGCAGTTAGCAGCTAGCGGCTAGCTAGTAATGATGCTAATGTACACATCAATCGTTATGTACAGGGCTGCACATAACTGGTGCGCATGTGCGCATGCGCACGTCGGCCAAAAAAAGAGCACCGGGTCATTTGAAAAAAGGCGCATTTGCGTACCAACATTGAGAGAGAGGGAGAGAGAAGGGAGAAGAGAAAAGAGAGAAGAGAGAGAGAGAAAGATATTTGCGAGTTGCATATGAACTCAGGGCCGGCCCGTCGCACTGGCGTTGATTTTCGCCTAGGGCGCCAGATCTGTGGAGGCGCTGCGCTGGTAGTTCTGGGAGGGAAAAAAAACATTTTTGACCGTTGGTGCTCATCCTAATTTTCGGCCTTGATGTAACAACATTCATAATTAAGTAAATGTAACACCCTTTTCACCCCGGTTACACGTTTCATTTGCCCTGTACGATGGGCGCTGTAAGTGATGAAAATGGGGGATGTTGGCTTGTCTGGCGCCCGCAGCTCACAGCCAAAGTGCGAGTGAGCGAGGGAGAGAGGGAGGGTGCACCGGTAGCGGCGCTGTTGTTATTAGAATCTGGTGCTAGCTGCGGATATAAGAAGAAGATGGAGAGTCCTCTCCAGTCAGACTGAGAGGCTGATACTACAGCTCAGTGAGGTAAAGGACTCTGAGTGTTTAGATAGTTCAAACGGTTTGGTCACAATTTATGTAAACACATATTTTCAAGGCACTCCTTTATAATTATTGGGAAAAACAGGTTTGAAATCATTCCAATGTATAGGCTACTATAGGACAGTAACCAAAAATATCCTTTTAAAACTGGACTTTCGACCCAAAACCAGCTGTTGACTTGTGGATGCAAGCAGCTAATCGCAGACTCAACCAGAGAGAAAGTAGTAGGCCTACATCATCAGCTACCATGTCTGACAGAGAGGAAGACAGTGAGGAGAACAGTCAGGAGAACAGTGATGACAGCTTGTAGGATTACTGGTCGTGCTAATGTTGTCTTGTGTTCGCCTCTGCATGTGTGTTCTGTGTTCACCTCTGTGTGTTCTGTGCCGTGTGTCTGACAAATAAAGACCGGTTTATTTATTTCATTTTAAGGATGAGCACCAAGCAACATCTCCAGGTGCTCCTTTGAGAACCAGGGCAAAAAAGTGATGTGCACCCCTGGTTATGTACTTATATTACGCTGTAACAGGATCTAGTGATATCCAACAGAGCTTCATTTAGCATGAAATTATTATTGCACTGTATATATTGTAGTGCCGTGAAAAGAGAGTCGGAGGCGGTGTATTAAGAATGGAGTTCCAATCTTTATTATCCATTACTTTCAGAGAGGTTAACACATGCACTGCTCTGCCTGATGAGCTAGCAGGAATGGCAGCTAAAGCTACAGGTGTTCCCCACTAAAGGGTCCATGTGGCAACACAATAAGCAAGGTGAATTATGTCCAATAACGTGTCCCCCCAGAATTCACACATAAACAAAATCAGCATGGCGGGGAGGAACGACACGCCGACCCCCACGACTCCTGAGCACGGGAGTCGGAAAAGTGACTCCCGCCTGTGCGGCCCCCGGAAGGGGAGGGACCGGAACAACAGGTCTTAAATCCGTGACAGGGGACGAGGCCGGGGGGGCAGCCCCGTCGCGGAGGTCGAGCCAGCACCACAGGCTGGTCCAAGTCCAGGTGAGCAGCCTTCACCCGGTCCACCGAGACGTGCTCGGCCTTGCCACCCAGGTCGACCACCAGGTGCTTGTTCCCGTGCTCCAAGACCCGGAAAGGCCCATCATAAGGGGGCTGCAGGGGGCCTCTGTGCGCATCGTGCCGGATGAACACGTGCTCCGCCGAGCGGAGCTCTGCGGGAACCTGGGACACCTGAGTACCGTGCTGAGTAGTAGAGATCGGAGCAAAGGCCTCAGCGGCATCACGCAGGAAAGCCCGCTGGGCCGACGCCGACCAGGGAGCCGATGCATTTGGGAGGAAATCCCCCGGAACTCTCAGCGGCTGACCGTAGACCATCTCCGCTGTAGAACACTGCAGATCTTCCTTAGGTGCGGTCCTCAGGCCCAGCATCACCCAGGGCAGCTTGTCGACCCAGTTACCGTCCGTAAGGCCGGCCTTGAGGGCCGCCTTCATGGAGCGATGAAAGCGCTCGCAGAGGCCGTTAGCCTGAGGGTGGTAAGCGGTAGTCCTGTGCAGCTTAACCCCCAAACCGCCTGCCACAGCGTTCCAGAGCTCGGACGTGAACTGAGAGCCCCTGTCTGAGGAAATGTCTGACGGGGTGCCAAAACGACACACCCACGTTGCAATGAAGGCCCGGGCAACGTCTGCGGCTGATGTCGAAACGAGCGGAACCGCCTCCGGCCAACGGGTCGTTCTGTCCACCATGGTGAGGAGGTAGGAAAACCCCTGAGAGGAAGGCAACGGACCAACCAGGTCAATGTT